CTGGATGAGGACATGATTTCACCGATAAGGAAAAGAAGTCATAAAAGATGTACTCCAAGACGAGGGTGAAAGTGTTTGGGTGACCTTTATCCAGGCATGCATCTCCTGTTTGAGAAAAGTTCCTGGTGTTGAATGGCTGCTTCTCTTAACACAACACCGTATTGTGTATTTATATGGGTCTCTGCCTGCCCAGAGATCTTTATAAGCCCTCATTTGTTAGCTTCTGGCTGCTGAGCCATCCTTTTGCTAGCTTGACTCAGAAACCCAACATCTAGGCCCAAAGCCAAATGGCTAGAAGCAAACAAAGGTAAATCAAGGTGTGCTTTGGTCAGGAGCCTCAAGGTCTGCCCTCTCCTCCTGATAAATCAACCACGAAGAAAACATATCTCTATATAGAAAATAGCCTCTGGCTTATTCCTATTATTTATATCATCAAGAAAAGAAAAAGGTCAAGCAAGGAAACCATTTCAGGCCGTAGAGTCAAGCTCTAAGTTTCAATTCCAGTTCTTTCACTAAATAGCTGGATGACTTTGGGTAACTTACTATACCTCTCTGAGCCTCAGGAGTTGTTGAGAGAATTAAAAGCAACAAGATTGTGCCAACATAGGTAAACTAAAGTGAGGATTCTTGTACCAGGATTGCCTATATAGCTCTTCAAAGAAAGTTGTATATAATCCTATGATCATGTATATCATTGTAATCATCCTAAAATACATATTCAGGTATAAGTTTGATTTCTCTCCCTTAGGCTGAGAATTTCTCTCTCTTAGTTATATGCAGCCTAGGAAAATTTCTCACCTAATCATGTGAGCTATAAGGGATCACCCTGACAAACCAGATTTTCTTCATTGCTGGCAAGGCCAAGACTGGTGTTCGGATGGGACCTCTGGGAAACCACATTTGGAACTGACAGTTAAGTGTTTTTCAAACTCTGGGCTCTACTAAGCGTGGTGTTTTGGTTTTGTTTTCAATCAAACAGGAATAGAATAGAAATAATCTGTGCACTTGGTATGTAATAGGGTAAGTATTGTTTCACAGCATATTTGTGTGTGTGTGTGTGTGTGAACTCCATCTGAATGTAAAATATGTTTCTTACTGTGGATCTTAGTCAACAAAGTTTAAAAGCCATGATGGAATGTTTAAGCATCGGATCTCTTGTCGTGAGCTACAACCTAACTGCCCCCTCCAGGTGACTTTCCTAACTCAGACCCCAGTGCCTGTGTGAGAAGCACCTGAAACCTAGCTGCACCTTTCAGACGCTTCTACCTGTTTTGTTTGTTTGTTTGTTTAGAAAACAAGAACCTCACGCAAGCATGGAAATGAAAACGCTAAGAATCCAATTCTACTTGAATTTTTGCTTCACCAGTTCAGACCCCTTCCAGAACCATTGGCGATAGTAAATGGCCAAACTACCTCCAAAATGGCTCACCTCTCCCAGTACACAAGTATCTGCATTTGTGGCAATCCAGGAGTCCTTCAGCCTCTGACTGGTAATATTCTACTTCCTCTTGTCCAGGCCCGGGGTTCGAGGGCAGATATCTCCCTGCAGTGTGGTCACTATAACCAAAAATACATGGCCGTTAGGGGGACTCAAATTCAATAGCTTATTCAAGATTAGAATGCTGGACACCTCGTGCTGGGCCCAGACATCAAAGAATGTGCAGAACAGAAACAAAATTTGCCATAGTGTTTCATACTCCAGGGAATTCTCTGGTTTAGTGACCTCACAGGGCATCTAAACACTTGGCTCAACTTCACTAACTACTCCCATTACTTATCCTTATAATTTTGAGCACCACATTCAATGCTGGTTTGTCAGCCTGTGAGAACTATCTAACCAGGTAGCTGGGAGCAGCTTTCGTGGGCTTCTCAGTTTAGCATGAACCAGGCCACTTCAGATCTGTTTTGCATTCACAAGACCAATGTCCAGGCTGAGGACTAGGATACTAGTTTATAAAACAACCTAAAAATGCAGCTCTGTATTCTCCCGGGTCATGCAGCTGCAATGCAATGTGACTGTAATCAGGGAAACAATAGCTAGTGCCCATGACCATATCTGGACACACCTTTTGTCACAGTTTGGCTAGTTGGTTTTAGATAATGTAACATAAACTCAGGATAGTAGCTTTCCCACAGTGTGGACACAATAGAGAGACTGGGCTTAAACCTACAAGTCCCACAATGGAGAGGACCCTGACTCCTTCTTAGAGAAGAGGGCAGGTATCAAATACCAGGAGGTCATTACTCCAGGTCCTGTCTCCTTGTTGGACTGGCACACAATCTGGGCACTCAGTAATATTTGTGGAGTAGGATGCAACGTTCAATGGAAAAAAGACCAACTCCCTAAGAATGGGTGTGGGATTTAGGATCGCCTTCTGTTCTCCCTTCCATCCCCACCCTCTTCCAGTTCACAAATCTCCCAGAACACCACGATGCTTTCACCTCACAAGGCCTCATGGGAACTCTCTGTGTTCTACCAGGCACGGAGGGCAAAGTTTGCTCATTCAGGAGAGTGGGGTCTGAAACTAAAGTAGGGAGGTGGCAAGAGAACTAAAATGTCAAATCAAGCAATATTCAAAGATATTGCAATCTTTGAATATTGCTTGATTTGACATTTTAGTTCTCTTGCCACCTCCCTGCAGCCAGACCAGAAGAAACCTGCAGAACCAAGGAAGATTTCTGCTGGGATTGCTAACAACCCATTTCCCCACACTCTGAGGAAAAACTTTCTTTGAGTGGTGCCCTACACAAAGTAAAATCATTCATTCCCTATGACTAAAATTCAAGTGAACCTATGAATTAAAGCCTGGAACAACTGCTAGCAGGACTTTCATGCTACATATTCTTACTTTTTCATGCTACATACTCTTATCCTTCCTTATTGTATGTCTATATCAAAGGAAAATGTGTAAACAAAGTCTTTAAACTATAACTCACAGGAATTAAAGAATAATATATAAACTGGATCCCTCAAAACTTGAGGGTTTTTTTTTTCCTTGTCTTGGCTTTTTGTCTTTGCTTTCTCCACTCTTTG